CCCACTCACATTTTCCAGGCTGAGTGGTGTTCCAGGGCCATTAGTTGCAGGTCCATCTGGATGGCCCAAGCACAGGCCAAGAGAAAGCCTTCACATAGAGAGTCCCAAGTTCATGCAGCATAATACAGGAGGCATGGACTAGAACTGTTAGTGCCAAAGAGAGAGCACAAGGCAACACTTGTGTCCTGAAGATGGTTTTAGAAATGGGGGGGGGGTGTTGTGGGATGAATTAGGAGATTGGAATTTACATATATACACTATTGATACTATGTGTAAAACAGATAACTAATGAGAACCTACTGTATAGCACAGGGAACTCTACTCAGTGCTCTGTGGTGACCTAAATGAGAAGGAAATCCAAAAAACAGGGGATATATGTATATGTATAACTGCTTCACTTTGCTGTACTGTATAAACAAAAACAATATTATAAAACAACTATACTGCAATAAATTTTTTTTAATTAAAAAAGAAAGTGTAGAGGTAAGTACATTAGAAACAGCAAGAGTGATAGACCTATACCATTAACATAAATTAAAAATACATGCAGAAACAAAAGCACATTATATATGTCACACTCGTAACTTACATGTGGACAAATTTAGGACACATTATACAGTGCCTCAGGGTGGAATGGTGAATGGGACTGAAGATGGGGAAGAAATTTAGGGGCCTCATGGAAATTCATGAGGAAATGCTGTCATAACCTGAGGGAGTGATTTAAAATATCCATCTCCTTCTACTCCTCTAGGTTAATGAACCTGCTTTTCCTGGATCCCCTTAAAACCCTAACCTCCCACGTTACACTTAGGATATCTGGATTCAGCCACCCTAAGAGTAGGAACTGTATGGATTACAAGGTCACTCCACTCTCAGTCTGGTGCCAGATCTCGCCAGAGTACATTTGAACAAGAGGTGCACAAGGACAACCCAAGTTCCCACGACTACATTTCCCAGAGCGCCCTGGTGATTCTAACAAGATTCAAGGGGTGGAGCAGTTTGCAAACCAATGAGGTCTCTTCCTGGGCTTGTCCAGGAAGTGGGAGGATGGCAGTCAGCCCGGTTCCTGGTTGTGGGACCCAGGGGAGCTCGGTAAGTGACGTGTTGTGCTTTGAAATCGGGGTTTAATCCTATTTCAAATGTGAGTCCAGGAGACTAGATACTACACACACCCGAATGTCAGGTCCTAAGCCAGTTCAGAAAGTTTGGCTGACATATAACTTGAATCCTTATGCTGTAATTACTGTACAGGATAATGGAGGAGATAACACACCCCAGTTCAAACTGTCGGGGTTGATGCCAAAAGCTCAGCTTCTCTGTACACCGGTGCCAAATCAGATCTTGGAGACAGAGTTTTGGGTGAAGTAGAAGAGGAGAGCTTTATTACTTTGCCAGGCAAAGGGGTACACAAGAGCTCCTGCCTCGAAAAACTATGTGTCCCAACCCAGGAAGATTTGATAAGGAGTTTTATAACTCCTTATCAAAGGAGTTATCAAAGGGTGGGGTTGCAGACAAGATGAGGATGTGTGTAGGGTCTCAGGTGGTAAGTCTTCTAATCTTGATGAGCTTCTCTGGTCCCTTTAATCTTGCTTTGGGTGGTTTCTTGCCTGCCCCTCCCTTGATTAGCAACTGTTTGAGTCTGCCCTCTGGAACTCAGGGAAGGTCATGGAGGCTGTAGTCTTTCCGACAAGAAATCGGGGACAAAAATAAAAGGCCAAGCCTCCATACCTGGGTGCCTCACAGGGCCCTGCTCAGTTTCAGGGTTAGAGTAACAGCCATGTGACATCCCAGGTGTGAGGACTTGGGTAGGTCATTTAAGCATCTCTAAAAGTCAGTTTATCCCTCAGAAGATTGGAGCTAATAAGAGAGCTTACTTTAAAAGTTTGTTGCGAGGATGAAAGTATATAAAATATATCTAATGTGTACAACACATGATTCAGGGGACAGGATTTCCCTCTTGGATAATTGAAACAGCAATGTCCACCTTCTCTGTCCCCACCTGGGTGTGTCCCAAAGGGCCCAGTTAGTCCTGCAGTCATCAAATTCATGATCACTCCTGCTGCTCCTGCATTAGCTCATCAGAAATTCTCTAATGATCATCCCCAAACTCCAGGGAGGCTGTGTTGTGTTGTCTGCACAGTTCAAGGGAATTCTTGAGGACATTTTATCTTGATGGAAGGAAGACCCTAAGGGGAAGGTCTTCAGGAGCCATAAATGACAAGAACCAGCTCTTTCACTGTCAGGCAGGCTGAGGACACCACTCCCTGAGCACAAATGTTTAGAATTCCACAGGAGAGAGGAGCCTGTGGAGGCTGACAGCCCCAGAGCAAGGGGTCTGTGGGCTCTCCCCTCCGGACTTTGCTCCCTTGCCCTGGCCCGATGCCCACAACAACAACACGCCTGTTGGCTCTCCTTTGATGAACTGACCTTTCCCTTACCCCAAGTCACAGTTTAGTTCCTCAACCACAAAGTGGCTGACCCTGCCCCCTCTCACTCAGAAGGAAGTTGTTAACTGCCAACTATGTATATAGCTGCATCCTGCCCAGAGACTTATTTTGTTTGCCCTTTACATTTTAAATAGTTCAGAGCCAACTTTAAAAATAGGCAGATTTCACCCACAACTCTGAGTTTCTTCTCCTCAAGACGGGGAAAAAAAGAGAAACAAAGAAACATTCAGAACTTCCTGCTGCCTGGGTGTAACTTTTTTTTTTGGCTGTTTTCCATGGGCTTTCTGTGCAGTAAGCACTGTGAAGGACGGTCTGTGGGCACGTCTTGCATGGCAACTTCTCTTGTTTTCATCCAGAAGATCACTGGGCTGGCCACTTGTCCCTGGGGGTGGGTTGGGTTGTGGTGTCCTTACAGTGAGCCTCGGCACCAAAAAAAGGTAAGTAAAGGGAAGGGATGGGAAGGGAAGGGAAAGGGAAGGAGAGGAAAAGAAAATCACAGCATATAGAATGAAAAGCCACTTAGAAGTACCTCTTAAAATTCTACTATTCATTTGGACAGTTCTAATGCTAGGCATATACCCAATGAATTGAAAACATACAGAAAAAAGTACTTGACCACAAATGTTCTCAGCAGCACTGTTCACAGCAGCCGAAGGTGGAGCGGAACATAGAGACAGGACGTAGACTGGTGGTTGCCAGAGGCTGGAGGAAATGGGGAGTAACTGCTTCATGAGTTTGGGGTTTTACTGGGGGTAGTGAGATATTTTGGAACTAGATAGAAGTCGTGGTTGCGCAAAGTTGTGAATGTACCAAATGACACGGAATTGTTCACTTTAAATGGTTTATTTAGGTCACGTAAATTTCACATCAATTTTTATAAATCTGTTGTCATGACAGATATGCTGGCAGTAGGTACAGAAAGTTCCACCTCTGTCCAAACGTGTATTTATGCTGCTTGTAGCCCTGAGTGTGTCATCAGCATTTCACTCCCTTCCCTTGGGCCCTCATTTTAGTTCCTGAAGGATAAAACAGAGGACTCCATTCCTTCCCTCAAAAGGAGTTTTTTTTGTTTTTGTTTTTTTAATATCAACTCCCTAGTACTTCTGTCCCAGAGACTTATTTTGTTTGGCTTTTCTATCTTCAGCTGAGCAGCTGTGTTCCCTCTGGGCCTGCTTGGTAGTCCTCACAATACCTGCCTGACTCTGAGAGCTTTAGCTCAGAGGCCTGGCTGAGCTGCAGGCCTTCAGTACATAAAGCCCTATTGTCCAATGGCCTCTGAGTAGGGCTAGCCTAGCAGCTCCCTTTCCAGCCAGAAATCAAGCAGATGCCCACCTGCCCTGGGGTCAGGGAGGGTTGTAGTGTCAATCCAGTGGGATGCCATATCCTTCACTGAGACAGAGAAAAGGAAAAAGAAGGAAAAGTATAGGAAATAAAACACAAACACCATACACACACACAAAGAAAAGCCACTCACTAGCACTCCTTAAGGCTCTTTTATTCAGTCGTGCCAGAAGTTCAGGAAGTAGGTATAGAAGATTTCATCTCAGTCCATAACTGTACTTGTGGTGGCAGCATCTCAGGGGTGAACTACCTCTGGATCAACCTGTTTTTAATTCTTCTATTTTAGGCTTTTGCTTACAACTTTATTTGGGGAACGAATAAGGGTTTCTTTAGTTGAAAAATAAAATAATAAAAATGAAATAAGATAAGATAAAATAAAATAGAAAAACACTGCTGTACATGAAAGAGGTAGAGACCCTAGACTGGGAGCTGGACAATGAGTTCTTCATATTGACCTGCTCTCCAGGGCTACATCAAAAAGGTAATTTGTAACTGAAGTACCATGTCACTTAGGGATAAATCAAAGCAGCCAGTTGACTATTTTTTTTTTGTTGTTCAAAATGCCTATGTTTAATTTTTTTTCTCAGTCATCCATCATAAATACACTTTAGGCAAATTTAAGAGTAATCTGACCTACAGTTTTTGTCCATTTTTAGCCAATATAAGCATATACAGTGTTGAAATATTAATTGCAAATGTCAAAACAGAAAATGAAGTATATGTGTAAGTTTTATTTGAGTACTAAGCCCCTACAGGATGATACACCTTAAAATGGTACATATTAAAACATTTTTAGTTATCCACTTCATTAACCACAGACAAAGCTGCTTTAGGAGTATTATAAAGAATATTACCTGACTATATTCAATAGGGTAAATTATTAATATTGGTGGTTCAGAACTCTCTCTACGTTGCTTTGGATAGAATTTGAAATGACGACCTTAAAAAACCTATTTGAAATCATCATTAAAAGATAATGCATTTATTTTTACTCACCTATTAGAAAAAGAAAGAGGCATTAATACTGGATTGAAAAGGTAGGAAGCAGATGAAAAAAGAACATGCAGGGTTAACTAGACGGAAAGTAAAATCAAGATATAAACAAAATACTGTATCAACTCAAGAGCCTTGACTTAAAGCATTCGTAGCCAGACAACTTTCTGATTCTTCTATTAATGAAACCTACGCTATTCTTGGAATTGCCTTTTTGCACTAGTCCTGCCCAGTGTCTTGAACCAGACCACTAGGGAGAATCCGCTTCAAGAAGTTAAACTCATTTAACCCGGAGCCTCCCGTCAGACACACCTCGTACTGGTAGCTCTGGGACAGGGTCCCCGTGCCGCTGACGTCCACCAGGTGGCCTGGAAAGTGGCCCTCGGGCACCGAGCAGCGACTCACCGAGGCCGCCACGCCCCTCCTGCACAGCCGCACCGCGACGAACACCAGTACCGAGAAGAGGAAGAGCGACGACACCGACGCCAAGGCGACCAGCAGATAGACGGTGAGCAGGGTGGCCGGGGCCGCGTCCGCCGCTTCCGCTTCAGGGGCCGGCAGGTAGGGCCGCGAGAAGCCGTCCACCAGCAGCACGTACAGCGTGACGCTGGCCGAGAACGGAGGCTCGCCGTTGTCCTTGACCAGCACCACCAGCCTGTGCTTGGCCGCGTCGCGCTCGCTCAGCAGCCGGGCCGTGCGCACCTCGCCGTTGTGCGCCCACACGCCGAACAGCCCGGGCTCCGTGGCCTTGAGCAGCTGGTACGACAGCCAGGCGTTCTGGCCCGAGTCGCCGTCCACCGCCACCACCTTGGTCACCAGATACCCCGCCTCGGCCGCCCTGGGCACCAGCTCGGTGCAGGGCGCCGAGGCGTTCTGCAGCGGGTACAGCACGAAGGGCGCGTTGTCGTTGTTGTCCGCCACGAGCACGCGCACCAGCGCCTGGCTGCTGAGCGCGGGCGAGCCGCGGTCGGCGGCGCCCACGCGGAACTCGAACGCCCGCAGGGCCTCGTAGTCCAGGGACCTCAGGGCGAAGAGGTGGCCGTTGTCCGGGTTCATGGACACCAGGGAGGCCAGGGGCACGTGCGCGTCGAGGGGCGGCAGCAGCGAGTAGGTGACCTGGGCGTTGGCGCCCGCGTCTCTGTCTGTGGCGCGGACGCTGCCAATGTGCAGGGCGGGGCTGTTGTTCTCGCGGACGGACAGGGTGTAGGAGGTCTGGGTGAAGGCGGGGCGTTGTCGTTGACGTCGGACACCAGCATGGTTATGTTGTGCTGGGTTTTCAGTCTCGGTGTCCCCATATCTGTGACGGTGATGGTGATGTTATATTCGGATCTTGTTTCTCGGTCCAGGGCTGTGTTTGTGACTAAACTGTAAAAATTCTCAACAGAGGGTTTAAGAATGAAGGGAACATCATTTTGGATGGAGCAAACCATCCTTCCATTGTCTCCAGAGTCAGGATCTGAAACGCTGAATACAGCAATTACAGTCTCCTGCAAGGTTTCTGGGATCTCAGTGATAAGCGTTGACATGGTCAGTTCCGGCGGGTTGTCATTCAAATCCATCACTTGGACAAACACCACACAACTGCCAGAAAGGCCCCCACCATCTGTCGCCTGAATATTTAATGTATAAGTCTGAATAGATTCAAAATCCAGTTCCTGTGTTAAAAGGAGTTCTCCCGATTTTGCATTTATTCCAAATGTTTTCCGAATATCCTCAGATGCTTGGGAAAGTACGTAAGATATTTCTCCATAGGTTCCAATATCTAAATCTCTGGCAGAGACAATGGCAACCTGGGATCCAATGGGGCTGTTTTCTAGGACATGCGCCTCATAGTGCAGCTTTGCAAAGTCGGGGGCATTATCATTGATGTCTAAGACTTCAATGCGGATTAGGGCGGTCCCAGACCTGGGTGGAATTCCGCCATCCAGCGCTGTGACGGTTAATCTGATCTCAGGCTGTTCCTCTCTATCCAGTGCTTTGTCCAGCACCAGCTGTGGTAATATTGTGCCGTCGGAACTGTCTTGTAATTTAAGATGGAAGTGGGAATTGGGGCTGACTGTGTAACTTTGGAGACTGTTGCTTCCTACATCTAAGTCCTGGGCAAGCTCTATTAGGAAAATAGTTCCAGGAGTGATACTTTCTGAAATTTTCAATATTATTTCTTTGTCTAGGAAAACTGGAGAATGATCATTTATGTCCCTAATCCGTAGCTCAGCCTGGAAAAACTTCAAGGGATTTTCCAGTAACATCTGAAAAGGTAGTACACAGGGCTCGGTAGGGCCACACAGCTCCTCCCGGTCCAGTTTCTCACTTAACAACAAATCCCCGGTCTGCCTATCAAAATGCAAACGCATTTTTTTTCCCTTTGGAAACGACCCCGGGGGGCCCGAGCAGCTAGATCATCTACCTCCAACCCCAAGTCTTTCAACAGATTGGCCACAAAGGAGCCACTGTCCATTTCCTCAGCCACTGAATAACGCCTAGGCTCAGAACCAGCCTGAGCTATGCCCAGCCAAACAAAGAATATCAAGACTTGCCTTTGTTTCAGAAAGCATTTCTTCCTCTCTCCTGCCTCCATCGCTCTCTCGTCTCCCAGCAAACTTGACCCAGCTCAGATTCACGTTGTCGCTGATCTATCTCCCAGTATCACTCAGACACTGGGATAAGTGGAGATGCCTATGGCCCTGATTTCCCGGAGCAACTGCCTTAGAAAGCCTCCTTTTCCTGCTTGCTTCTTTAGCAGAGCATCTAGCTAGAGGAACCGCCAGTTGACTATTGACCATTCAACAAAATAATAAGAATTCATTTGGTGACAGAAGAAGTCTCTTTTGCCTGACTTTCAAGGCCCTCTGGAAGTTTCCTCATCCCTTACATCTTACCTTTCTTTCACACAGCTCTCCAAAATGACCACTGATATGACTTGTCAGGTTCCCCAGATTTAGACGCTGAGGCCAGGACCATGTGCAAGTGGCTTATGATGTGCTCCTGGGAGAACTCCAGTGTCAGCCTGAATGTGAATTATAACTCAAAGTCTTTCCAGACTCAAGGCAAGGCAGCTGAGTTTTCAGAACCTCTCACCAGTAAGTCACTGATGCAGGGCTGCCCTGGCAGGACATGAAGTCCCTGGCACTTCCAATTTTCACATAGGAAGGCAAAGCAGCTCCAGGAACCCCCAAGAAGTCTTCCAAAGAGTCCACAATGCAGCTTCTTGAGCACAAGGACACAGAAGCCATGCTAGTCAGAGGCAAAGTGGTCAAACACATCTGAAGGTTTCTGGGTGGCTTAAAGACAGCATTCTCCCCACATTAGCCTCAGTCCTGAATCCTCACCAATGCCATGTGCCCTCTCAAGGTACCCTGAGCGTGCTCTGTTCTTTACCCTCTGTACCTGAGGCAGAAATCTATAGGTCTGATGGCTTCCATTACATCACATTTTAAAAATGTTTTTAAACTACTTTAGCCAAATTCTCATAACATTTCTACTCTTTGTTCTATATTAAAAGGAAACAATTCCTTATATATAGTTCTGTATCCACCTTTGATTTCTTTCTTGAATATAGTTTACAGGTGAGATGTCTGGCTGTAGTGGAGCTTGGACTCCTCAATCTTTCCAGTGAATACGAGGGAAGATGACTGATGACAAGAGATACTTTAATGGCTGATCTTCTATATATCGGTGGTTCTTCTTCCTTTCCAGTGACACCATACATTAAGAACACTGTGTTATTTTTCTACCCCAATATCCCCAATTATACTTTACACATAAAGGAAGACCATGTGTTACCATTACATATTGGTCTTTGCTATGTTTGGTAATTCTTGTAGTAGCAATCAGGGACATAGAACATGATTCACCCCTCCTAACTGATCCTAGGGCAAATAATCATCTGACTGGTTCCTTCTGAGCCCCCTTGTGCTGGCTTCCACAACCTCCAGGCTCAGAACCCATCAGTGTTGCTGTCATTTCCTGTGGTTGCACTTGCTACACCCTCCCCTATGCAACTCAGATGCCCACTTTACTCTTCAGTTCTTTCCCTTCTGTTTTGTGATTTTTAGGTACTTTTCACAACTCATGTAACACTAAACTATCTTTTTGTTTTCAAAGGAAGTCACAGTATACATTTTACTATCTCTTCTATTATTTCTAGAGTTCAGTCCAGGAGAAAGGAATTTCTGAGACTTCTGAATTAAAATTGAACATCAACTTGCTTCCATTTGCTTAGAAATGTTTTAAGTGCCTTTCTGGGATTTCTCAGTAGATGCTCTAAGTGTGTTCTTTATATATCCCTTGAGTCTTCTCTAATATTAATCATGAAGCTGAAAGGAAAGGATATATCTGCACAGAAATGCTATATATCAAGAAATAAGGCTAGTTGTGTTTTCAGTTAGCTATTTTCCTGGCAACTGTTTCTAAGTTTTGCTAGTATTTCACTGTGAATCACAACTTTAGTCATAGCAATTTCTTTTGTTTAATCACAGAATACTCAAGTAATATTTGGTTACTCTTTCTGATTTACTTCACTCTGTATGACAGACTCTACGTCTATCCACATCTCTACAAATGACCCAATTTTGTTCCTTTCTATGGCTGAATAATATTCCATTGTATATATGTACCATATCTTTTTTTTTTTTGGAGTACACAGACCTCTCACTGCTGTGGCCTCCCCCATTGGGGAGCACAGGCTCTGAATGCACAGGCTCAGTGGCCATGGCTCAAGGGCCCAGCCACTCCACGGCATGTGGGATCTTCCCAGACTGGGGCACGAACCCATGTCCCCTGCATCGGCAGGCGGACTCCCAACCACTGTGCCACCAGGGAAGCCCTGTGTACCACATCTTTACCCCTTCATCTGTCGATGGACATTTAGGTTAATTCCATCTCCTGGCTATGGTAAATAAGGCTGCAATAAACATTGGGGTGCCTGTGTCTTTTGAAGTATGGTTTTCTCAGGGCATATGCCCAGTAATGGGACTGTGGGGTCATATGGTAGTTTATTTTTAGTTTTTTAAGGAACCTCCATACTGTTCTCCATAGTGGCTGTATCAATTCACATTCACACCAACAGTGCAAGAGTGTTCCTTTTCTCCACACCCTCTCCAGCATTTATTGTTTATAGATTCTTTTGATGATGGCCATTCTGACCACTGTGAGGTGATATGTCATTGTAGTTTTGATCAGCATTTCTCTAAAAATTATTGAGCATCTTTTCATGTGCCTCTTGGCCATCTGTGTGTCTTATTTGGAGAAATGTCTACTTAGGTCTTCTGCCCATTTTTTGACTGGGTTGTTTCTTGTTTTTGGATATTGAGGTACATGAGCCCTTTGTATATTTTGGAGATTAATCCCATGTCAGTTGCTTCATTTGCAAATATTTTCTCCCATTCTGAGGGTTGTCTTTTTATCTCATTTATGGTTTTCTTTGCTGTGCAAAAGGTTTTAAGTTTAATTAGGTCCCATTTGAGTTTTTTTTTTTTAACATCTTTATTGGAGTATAATTGCTTTACAATGGTGTGTTAGTTTCTGCTGTATAACAAAGTGAATCAGTTATACATATACATATGTTCCCATATCTCTTCCCTCTTGTGTCTCCCTCCCTCTCACCCTCCCTATCCCACCCCTCTAGGTGGTCACAAAGCACCGAGCTGATCTCCCTGTGCTATGTGGCTGCTTCCCAGTAGCTATCTAGTTTATGTTTGGTAGTGTATATATGTCCATGCCACTCTCTCACTTTGTCACAGCTTACCCTTCCCCCTCCCCATATTTCCATTACTCTAGGAGGTGGGTCAAAATGGATCTTGCTGTGATTTATGTCATAGAGTGTTCTGCCTATATTTTCCTCTAAGAGTTTTATACTTTCTGACTTTATATGTAGGTCTTTAATCCATTTTTAGTTTATTTCTGTGTATGGTGTTAGGGAGTGTTCTAATTTCATTCTTCTACATGTAGCTGTCCAGTTTTCCCAGTACCACTTATTGAAGAGGCTGTCTTTTCTCCATTGTATATTCTTTCTTCTTTGTTATAGACCATAGGTGCATGAGTTTATCTCTGGGCTTGCTATCCTGTTCCATTGCTCTATATTTCTGTTTGTGTGTCATTACCATATTGTATTGATTACTGTAGCTTTGTAGTATAGTCTGAAGTCCAGGAGCCTGATTCCTCTAGCTCCATTTTTCTCTCTCAAGATTGCTTTGACTATTCAGAGTCTTTTTTGTTTCCATACAAATTGTAAAATAGTTTGTTCTAATTCTGTGGAAAATGCCATTGGTAATTTAATAGGGATTGCATTGAATCTGTAGACTGCTATGGGTAGTATAGTCATTTTCACAATATTGATTCCTTCAATCCAAGAAAATGGTATATCTCTCCATCTGTTTGTGTCATCTTTAATTTCTTTCATCAGTATCTTGTAGTTTTCTGAGTACAGGTTTTTGCCTCCTTAGGTAGGTTTATTCCTAGGTATTTTATTCTTTTGGTTGCAGTGGTAAATGGGATTGTTTCCTTAATTTCTTTTTCTGATCTTTCATTGTTAGTGTATAGGTATGCAAGATAGTTCTGTGTATTAATTTTGTGCCCTGAAACTTTACTAAATTCATTGATTAGCTCTAGAAGATTTCTGGTGGCATCTTTAGGATTTTCTATGTATAGTAGAATGCCATCTGCAAACCGTGAGCATTTTACTTCATTTCCAATTTGTATTCCTTTTATTTCTTTTTCTTCTATGATTCTCATGGCTAGGACTTCCAAAACTATGTTGAATAATAGTGGCAAGAGTGGACACCCTTGTCTTGTCCCTGATCTTAGAGGAAATGCTTTCAGTTTTTCACCATTGAGAATAATGTTTGCTATGGGTTTGTCATATATGGCCTTTATTATGTTGAGGTAGTTTCCCTGTATGCTCACTTTCTGGAGAGTTTTTATCATAAATTAGTCTTGAATTTTGTCAAAAGCTTTTCCAGCATCTATTGAAAGGATCATATGTTTTTTATTCTTCAATTTGTTAATATGGTGTGATTCGTGTATATTGAAGAATCCTGGCATCCCTTGGATAAATCCCACTTGATCATGGTGTATGATGCTTTTAATGTGTTGTTGGATTTGGTTTGCTAATATTGAGGATCTTTGTGTCTATATTCATCAGTAATATTGGTCTGTAGGTTTTTTGTGATATCTTTGTCTGGTATTGGTGTCAGGGTAATGGTGGCCTCGTAGAATGAGTTTGGAAGTATTCCACCCTCTGCAATTTTTTTGGAAGAGTTTGAGAAGGATGGGTGTTAGCTCTTCTCTAAATGTTTGATAGAATCCTCCCATGAAGGCTTCTGGTTCTGGACCTTTGTTTGTTGGAAGATTTTTAGTCACAGTTTCAATTTCTTTACTTGTGATTGGTCTGTTCATATTTTCTATTTCTTCTGGTTCAGTCTTGGAAGGTTGTACTTTTCTAAGAATTTGTCCATTTCTTCCAGGTTGTCCATTTTATTGGCATATAATTGCTTGTAGTAGTCTCTTCCAATCCTTTGTATTTCTGTGGTGTCAGTTGTAACTTCTCGTTTTTCATTCCTAATTTAGTTGATTTGAGTCTTCTCCCTTTTTTTCTTGAGTCTGGCTAAAGGTTTATCACTTTTGTTTATCTTCTCAAAGAACCAGCTTTTAGTTTTATTGACTGTTGCTATTGTTTTCTTTGTGACATTAAGAAAGAATTAGGTTTTTAATTCCCACAAAACACCTTTCAGCATGCTTAACTTTCTGATAACACCCTCACCTGCACCAGTTTTGTTTTGGGGGTTTGTTTTTATTGTTTGTTTTTAGATCCAAAGAACATGAAAATCCTTTTTTGACAAGGCTTAGAAAGCTGACAGTATCTCTTTTTTCCTCCCTCTATATGAAGGATGTATTTAAATGAATGTTGGTCAGTAAGACATTTGTCAGCTATGGGTATTGGGTGCTTAACTGTCTAATGTTACCATTTGAATATTGTATATGATTGTAAGGCTTATGTCACTAAAGATTTTTATTCTGATTTTTCATGATCAAAATTCATATGATATTGTATAGACATGCTTTGTAGTGAACTATAGTAGCAATAATTTCTGTACATGATCTAGGATTTATTCCAGCATTTCTTTTCCTTTTTTTTTAAAACAAAATATTTTATTTAAATTAATAAATGATGGAAATAGAAAAGTCTACATAAAGATTTTAGAAGGAGAACTTACAGGACACAAATTTGTGATTCATTAGATGAGACACTTGGATGTGATTCCTAAAGCTTTTATTGAGCATTGCCAAATTTGTAAGCTTCATAGGGATGGACATTATATTTATAAATGCCCTTCTATAAGGGTTACTGTAGATGTGAAATTCTTGACCTTAATATCATCTTTGAAAATATTAAATTGAAAATTCTGTTAACTTATATTTTAAGAATAGGCATATTGTATTACTGCAAGAGATTTGATTTTCAGCAGAGTGCAAAGTTCTTTCAAATGCACATGTCTTTTTTTTCTAATTTCATTTTGTTTTAAAGCATTTTTTAAGTGTAGTTTTCTCATTTAGTAAATGTTGTCTAATTGAACAAAAGAGAAAGACAACAGAAATACATAGCTTATCACCATTAACCTATGGGTGGGATTCTTTGTACCATGTCACCTCAGGCCATGTCATCTTACCAATAGTAATGCACCACTGTTACAATTAGTGTCCATACTAGATTAGAACTCTGGTAACAGGGGACAGAAATTTTTTCTACATAGGATTTTACAAAATACAGACTTTTGGGGGTGGGGTGCTCACCTTACCAGAGAGTCAAAAGATAGCCTAATCCTCACCAGTGTCATGTGCCCACTCAAGGTACACTGAACATGCTCTGTTCTTTATCCTCTGTACCTGAGGCAGAGGTCAATAGGTCTAATGGCTTTCACTTAAGTCACACTTTTTAAATGTTTTAAAATTACTTCAGCCATTATTCTCATAACTTTTCTACTCTATCCTATAATAAAAGGAGTCAATTCTGCCTTTCTCTTCCTTAGTTTTTCATTTTGATTTACATCTTCACAGGCTGATGGAGAGGTAACACTATTAGAATATATACATATATATATAGTTTTTCTATTATCCTTTTTGAGTTTTATCTTTTCCTTCAGAAATACCAATTATCTTTATATTGGATTGTCTTTGACTGGTTTTATGTCTATTAACTTTTCTCTAACTCTTTAATGGCTTTATCTCTTCATTAAAACCATTGAGTATTAAGTTTTTCTACATAAGTCATTTGATATTATGCTATATATATATATTCCCCTATTGTTCATAATTACTTATATATTATCTTTGTTGTTATTCTTAATTAGTTTCCTAAGTTATAAATAGTTCTTTTGATAATGCTGTGTTATTTTATCACCTCATTTTTTTGGCTTTTTGGTATGAGTCCATTTTAAATGTTCTATATCTTCAAGTACCTGTGAAGAATATCTTTCCATTGTTCAGTTTATGTTTCTTCTTGAGCTTGTTGTCATTTCCCCCTATCTTTTGTGTATTATGTCCTTTTCTTCTGATCCCCGTCTCATAGTATATTTGCATTCTGTTTTTTCATCATATTCATGCATGTATAGTTCTGTCTCCATCTTTTATTTGTTTCTTGAATGAAATGTGACTGGTGAGATGTCTGGCTGGAGTGGACCTTGTACTCTGCAATCTTTCCAGTGGAGATGAGGGAAGATGACTGAAGACAAGAGATATTTTGATGGCTGGTCTTCTGTATGGATGGTTCTTCATCCTTTCTGGTGACACCATACACTAAGAATATTGCCTTATTTTTCTGCTCCAACATCCCCAATTATACTTTACACCTAAAGGAAGACAGGTGCTACCATTACATACTTGTCTTTTCTGTGTTTGGTAAATCTTGTAGTAGCAATCAGGGGCCTGAGACAGGGTTCACCCCTCCTTGCTGATTGTATGACAAATATTCATCTGGTCTGTTGTGTCTGAGCCCCCTGCTGGTGACTTCCACAGTGTCCAGTCTTAGAACCCACCAGTTTTGCTCCCATCTCCCATCATTGTACATTCACTTCTCTTCTCTGTGCAATCCAAATGGCCATTTTACTCCTGTTTTGTGATTTTAAAATACTCTTCATATTCATGTCCCAATTAGAACTACTGTCCTTGTTTTCAAGAAAGAATATGATATATTTAAAACTTTTTTCTTTTATTTCTACAGAGTGAACTAAGAAGAAGAACTATCCTAAGTCTTCTGAATTAAAACTGAGACTCAATCTACATTGAACTTCCTCAGAAAGGTATGCTTTTCTGAGACATCTCAGCTGGATCCCTAAGTGTGTTCACTCTCCCTCCTTTTATTCTTTTCTTATATTTATGATCAAGGAAAATGAAATGGTATATCAGTGCACATCTAAATTACAAGTCAATATATAAACTTTGCAGTGTTTTCACCCAGTTTTATCCTGACAACTACTTTCTAGTGCCTCCATATTTCACCTTCTATCATAACTTCAGCAGTACAAAATCTCTTATATTTAGTCATGGAATATGCAGATATAATTTGGTTATAACATGTTGCTTGCATCCAGACCCTGGCTTCTTCTCAATGAACTTGAAGCTACTAAATTCTAAAGTAACATAATATTTTTTTAACATCTTTATTGGAGTATAATTGCTTTACATTGTTCTGTTAGTTTCTGCTGTATAACAAAGTGAATCAACTATATGTACACATATATCCCCATATCCCCTCCAGAGGAGCAAAGAAAAATCTTTAAAATCAAAAGATAGCTTTAAAAAATATACATTAATTTCCAAATAAAAAGATGTTGGTTAACTCAGAAATGAAATGGCCAGGCAGTTACAAATCATATTGCTTTTGTTCCACATCACCTGCCCTCCTTACTTACCCAGCACTGATTCTGGATACAGAAGCAGAAGAGGGTCTGTGGTGGTCTGGCTAAGTACCAGTTGTTCTCTTGGTGTCTGAGTCGTAGAGTTTTTGGCTTGTGCTGATGCATGTAAAGATGAGAAGAAATGAAATAAGCTTAAGAGATTTGGAGGAGATCAGATTGCAGACATCAAGAATAGAAAAAGTTGAAACACTAGCAAAATGGGAAGAATAACTGATCAAAAAAGAGAATTAGGTGAATCTGAAAGAAATGACATTAAGAAGGACAACAGGGATACATAACTTATCACCATTAACCTAGGGGCAGTGCCTTTTGTAACCTCTTACCTCAGGCCATGTCATCTTATCAATGGTAATGCACCACTGTTACAATCAGTGTTCACACTGGATTATGACTCTGGTATCAGGGGACAGAAACATTTCCTATATGAGATTTTACAAAATAAGGACTACTTTTTTTTTTTTCTGGTTCACCTTACCATAAAGTCAAGATATGGCTTAAAACTTGATTGTTGTCTTTTCTCATCTTTCCTTTTCCTGCTTTTCATTCCTCAACTCAATAAATTCTTTGTTGATATTATTCTTCAGCAAGTTCTCCTAGTAGATTTGAGCAAATATCCTACCAGGTTCTGGCCCTGCAGTAGAAGCATCTGCTTAGGTTTCAGCAAAAGTTCCTCAACAGAGTCTCATTGAACTGACTTGGACCACATGCCATCCACACGCAAAACACTGGTCCTAGAGCAAATGTGCTTTGAATTGCGCCTACCTGGGTCATATGTCTATTCATTCAGCTCAGTATGTACAGCTCACTCTCCATACAAGCCAGACATAACAATTTGATGATGGTGCATTTTGCCCAAACTGCAGCCTTCCCCTACTGCCCTTCTCACAGTGATTACTCATCTCCGAGTAAAAGACAAAAGGTCAGATCTGATCTCAATCCATGCTTCCACTTACTCCCTCTGCTCCCTTCATCTTGTCTTCCTTGAACGTTCTTTGGAAACTCTAGGCAGGTTCCAGTTTAGGGCTTTTTTTTTTTTAACCCTCTGGTCCTTCTTCCTAAATTGTCCTCCCACATTTGTGGACATGGCTCATTCTCTCACATCCTTAAAGTCATAGTGAAGCTTCCTCTGCCCACCTTATTGGAAACTGAAGCTCTCTCTGTGCACATCTTATCTACCTTCTTTGCTTTATTTTCCCCAGAATACTTATCACTATCTAAGAAATTGCATGTTTTTAAAATTCATTTAATTCACTGTGTCATACCAGACCCCACTAAATTGTAAGATTCTTTAAGATAAGCAACCACTAGGTCAGTAACATATACATAATAGATTTTCAGTAAACTATTTATTGAATACATCAGTTTGTGAATGAATATGAATCTTTGAGTGGGGAAATTTGTGTAAGGTTCAGCTGAAGAAGATATTGAGTTGGTCAAGTACCATGAATGAAAGTACTATATTATAATTCTCCTGTTTGTATTAGAAACTGTTTGTAAACTCTATTTTAATTGATAGCAACTTGTACCTCTCCTTATTCATCACCAAAAAAACCACATGTAAGCTCTTTATCATTTTACTCATCACTTCATCTGGATTTCCAACTTCTCATGTTCAAAACATGGAAGAAGTGATAATACTTTTCTTTCAGGGTTACTCGCACCATTAACTGAACTTATGCATGTGAAAGCCACTAATACACTAAAAGCACACACACAAAAAGGCTTATAATTACAATTATTTATAACCATTGTTTGTGTTTACATGTTTAAAATACATTTGTTATCATTAGGCTAATCAAAGAAATTCAAGTAAAAAAGGAATATTTTTGTTTTGTTTTCCTTGCCTTAAGGAATCATGAACATTGAAGCATATTTTGAAAGAATTGGTTATAAGCACTATAGGAACAAGTTGGACTTGGAAACATTAACTGACATTCTTCAGCACCAGATCCGAGCCATTCCCTTTGAGAACCTTAACATCCATTGTGGGGAAGCCATGGAATTGGGCTTAGAGGCCACTTTTGATCAAATTGTGAGGAGGAACCGAGGTGGGTGGTGTCTCCAAGTCAATCATCTTCTGTACTGGGCTCTGACCACAATTGGTTTTGAGACCACTATATTGGGAGGGTATGTATACAACACTCCAGCAAACAAATATAGCAATGCCATGATTCACCTCCTGCTGAAGGTGACCATTGATGGCAGGAACTACATAGCTGATGCTGGATTTGGACGCTCTTACCAGATGTGGCAGCCTCTAGAGTTAATTTCTGGGAAGGATCAGCCCCAGGTGCCTTGCACCTTCTGCTTGACAGAAGAGAGAGGAATCTGGTACCTAGACCAAATCAGAAGAGAGCAGTATATCCCAAACCAAGAATTTCTTAATTCTGAGCTCCTGGAAAAGAATAAATATCGGAAAATCTACTCTTTTACTCTTGAACCTCGAACAATTGAAGACTTTGAGTCTGTGAATATATACCTTCAGGAATCTCCAGCATCTGTCTTTACAAGCAAGTCATTTTGTTCCTTGCAGACCCCAGAAGGTGTTCACTGTTTAGTGGGCTTCACCCTCACCTACAGGAGATTCAATTATAAGGACAATACAGATTTGGTAGAGTTTAACACACTGAATGAAGAAGAAGTAAAAGAAAATCTAAAAAATATATTTAATATTTCCTTGGAGAAAAAGCTTGTCCCCAAACATGGTGATAAATTTTTTACCATATAGAGTAAGCAATAAAAATGGTCTCAGTATTACTTCTGGTGCTGTAACTTTTTATTATAAAAAAGTTTAAACGTCTGTAAAAGTAGAGAGAATGAAATAATAAACCTGCATTTGTTTATCACTCAGTTTATCAGCTATAAACTAGAGGCCTATCATATTTTCTCAATGCTCCCAAATTATATTGAAGAAAATGCTAGATATCAAATCATTTCACCTTTAAAAATGTCAGCATATATAATTAGATAACATTTAAAAAAACATAACCATATATTTTTTCAAAAATAATAATAGCAAAGATGTTTTAATGATGGCCTATGGTTTTCTTGAGGAAAAAGTGATTTATGCTAGAAAACTTTCCACATTGGTTAATGTTGAATTCATACAACATGTTTACCTATAATTCAGTAACTAGGACCTTGAGGGAAACTTTTTTATTAAATTCTACCAGTGTATATCCAATGTCATATTTGTGCAGAAATACCACATGTATAATGGGATTATAATTCAACCAAAAGAAAGAGACATGACATTCCTTCCAAATAACCTAATATTTCTCAAGACAAAGTGTAAACCAATACTTGTTAGCATGTGATCAAGTACCAAGAGAGGGACACAACTAATAATTTCTTACATGGCTCTTTTTGCAACCACAGTTCTTCAAGTACCATTTTTCTTAATATGGGAACACTACTATTTATAATTTTCAAATTTTGGAACTCAGTATTTTTGCTTAAAAGTAATAAGTACTGCAAATTTAAAAATACTTATTATCTAAAAACTTCATATTGGAAAAGTATGTTAAAACATGTTGGCCAATACAATATCAGTCATAAAATTTTTGTTCGGCATAGTTAGGTTATTATGGGGTTTCTTTTTTTTTTTTTCCCTGCAGTAGAGTCTTCCTTGAATCCTCGTTCTTGTCTCCCAGTTCTATTCTTTTACTTCCTTTTACACTTTGTTGTAAGAGAAAGAGTATGTGCTTCAAAGTATACAGTTCTGAGTTCAAATCCTGTGGACACCAGGTGAATTAATTGATGAATCTGTGGCTCCCATTCCTCAGGTATAAAATGGGGACAATACCTATATGAATAAGTGCCTAACCGAAAGCACCATCTTCCTTCCCTCTCATTGGCCTTGTTCAGCTCTGCTGCTATCTTGCAGCATGGTTAGGTCATGTATGGTACTGTTGGACAGAAAGAATTTTCTCACATTCTGAAAAGACAATGCCAAGGGAGGAGATGTAAGCAAGAGATACATTCCAGATCAAAATGTGGCTCAAGAGAGGACCTTCAAAATGGCGGAGGACTCAAATATTAAGGTCACCTCCCCACAAATACATCAAAAATATATCTATATATGGAACAACTCCTACAGAACACCTACTGAACACTGACAGAAGATCTCAGACTTCCCAAAAGGCAAGGAAATCCCCACATACCTGGCCGTGTGGCTGACAGGGACTTGGTGCTCCAGCAGGATGTCAGGCCTGAACCTCTGAGGTGGGAGAGCCAAGTTCAGGACGTGGGACAAGCAGAGACATCCTGACCATACGTAATATCAATCACCGAGAGTTCCCCAAAGATCTCCATCTCAACACTAAGAAACAACTCCACTCAATGACCAGCAAGCTGCAGTGCTGGACACCCCATGACAAACAACCAGCAAGGAACACAAACACATCCATTAGCAGAGAGACTGCCTAAAATCATAAGAAGTTCACAGACACCCCAAAACACACCACCAGACATAGTCCTGCCCACCAGACAAACAAGATGCAGCCTCATCCACCAAAACACAGGCACCAGTCCCCTCCAATGGGAAGCCTACACAACCCACTGAACCAACCTTACCCACTGGGGACAGACAGAAAAACAACAGGAACTACAAACCTGGAGTCTGCGCAAAGGAATACACAATAAGTTAAGCAAAATGAGAAGAGAAATACGCAGCAGATGAAAGAGCAAGGTAAAAACCCACCAGACCAAACAAATGGAGAAGAAATAGGAAATCTACCTGAAAAAGAATTCAGAATAATGATAGTAAAGATGATCCAAAATCTTGGAAATAGAATGCAGAAAACACAAGAAACATTTAACAAGGACCTAGAAGAAATAAAGAGCAAACAAACAATGATGAACAACACAATAAATGAAATGAAAAATCCTCTAGAAGGAATCAATACCAGGATAAATGAAGCAGAAGAACGGATAAGTGACTTGGAAGATAAAATAGTGGAAATAACTACCACAGAGCAGAATAAAGTAAAACGAATGAAAAAAATTGAGGACAGTATCAGAGACCTCAGGGACAACATTAAATGCCACAACATTCGTATTATAGGGGTCCCAGAAGAAGAAGAGAAACAGAAAGGGACTAAGAAAATTTTTGAAGAGATTATAGTTGAAAACTTCCCTAATATGGGAAAGGAAATAGTTAATGAAGTCCAGGAAGCACAGAGAGTCCCTTACAGGATAAATCCAAGGAGAAACATGCCAAGACACATATTAATCAAATTATCTAAAATTAAATAAAAAGAAAACATATTAAAAGTAACAAGGGAAAAACAATAAATAACACACAAGCGAATGCCCATAAGGTTAACAGCTGATCTTTCAGCAGAAACTGAGCAAGCCAGAAGAGAGTGGCAGGACATATTTAAAGTGATGAAGGAGAAAAACCACAACCAAGGTTACTCTAACTGCAAGGATCTCATTCAGATTTGATGGAGAAATTAAAACCTTTATAGACAAGCAAAAGCTGAGAGAGTTCAGCACCATAAAACCAGCTTTACAACAAATGCTAAAGGAACTTCTCTAGGCAAGAAACACAAGAGAAGGAAAAGACCTACAATAACAAACCCAAAACAATTAAGAAAATGGGAATAGGAACATACATATTGATAATTACCTTAAATGTAAATGGACTAAATGCTCCCACCAAAAGACACAGACTGGCTGAATGGACACAAAAACAAGATGTGTATATATGCTGTCTACAAGAGACCCACTTCAGACCTAGGGACACATACAGACTGAAAGTGAGGGGATGGAAAAAGATATTCCATGAAAATGGAAATCAAAAGAAAGATGGTGTAGCAATTCTCATATCAGACAAAATAGACTTTAAAATAAAGACTATAACAAGAGACAAAGAAGGACACTATATAATGATCAAGGGATCAATCCAAGAAAAAAATATAACAATTGTATATATTTATGCACCCAACGTAGGAGCACCTCAATGCATAAGGCAAATGCTAAGAGCCATAAAAGGGAAATCGACAGTAGCAAAATAATAGTAGGGGACTTTAACACCCCACTGTCACCAATGGACAGATCAATGAAAATAAAATTAAATAAGGAAACACAAGCTTTAAATGACACATTATACGAGATGGACTTAATTGGTATTTATCGGGCATTCCATCAAGAAACAACGGAATACATTTTATTCTGATGTGCTTATGGAACATTCTCCAGGGTAGATCATAACTTGGGTCACAAATCAAGCCTTGGTAAATTTAAGAAAATTGAAATTGTATCAAGTATCTTTTATGACCACAATGCTATGAGACTAGATATCAATTACAGAAAAAAAAAACTGTAAAAAATATAAACACATGGAGGTTAAATAATAAGCTACTAAATAACCAAGAGATTACTGAAGAAATCAAAGAGGAAATCAGAAAATACCTAGAAACAAATGGCACTGAAAACACGACAAGCCAAAATCAATGGGATGCAGCAAAAGCAGTTCTAAGAGGGAAGTTTATACCAATACAATCCTACCTCCAGGAGCAAGAAAAATCTCAAATAAACAGCCTAAACTTACACCTAAAGCAACTAGAGAAATAAGAAAAATAAAACCCAACGTTAGCAGAAGGAAAGAAATCATAAAGATCAGATCAGAAATAAATGAAAAAGAAATGAAGGAAACGAGAGTAAAGATCAGTAAAACTAAAAGTTGGTTCTTTGAGGAGATAGGCCATTGGCCAAACTCATCAAGAAAAAAAGGGAGAAGACTGAAATCAACAGAATTAGAAATGAAAAAGGAGAAGTAAAAACTGACACAGCAGAAATACAAAGGATCATGAGAGATTACTACAAGCAACTTTATGCCAATAAAATGGACAACCTGGAAGAAATGGACAAATTCTTAGAAAGGTATAAACTTCACAGACTGAACAGGAAGGAAGAGAAAATATAAGCAGATCAATCACAAGCACTGAAATTGAAACTGAAATTAAAAATCTTCCAGTAAACAGGGCTTCCCTGGGCGCAGTTGTTGAGAGTCCGCCTGCCGATGCAGGGAGCACGGGTTCGTGCCCCGGTCCAGGAAGATCCCACATGCCGTGGAGTGGCTGGGCCCGTCAGCCATGGCCGCTGAGCCTGCACGTCCGGAGCCTGTGCTCCGCAGTGGGAGAGGCCACAACAGCGAGAGGCCCGCGTACCACAAAAAAAAAAAAAAAAATCTTCCAGTAAACAAAGGCCCAGGTACAGATGGATTCACAGACAAATTCTATCAAACATTTAGAGAAGAGCTAACACCTATCCTTCTCAAAGTCTTCCAAAATATAACAGAGGGAGGAACACTCCCAAACTCATTCTATGAGGCCAAAATCACCCTGATACAAAAACCAAACAAAGATGTGACAAAAAAAGAAAACTACAGCCAATATCACTGATGAACATAAATGCAAAAATCCTCAACAAAATACTAGCAAACAGAATCCAGCCGCACATTAAAAAATATCAAACACCATGATCAAGTGGGGTTTATCCCAGGAATGCAAGTATTCTTCAATATGCGTAAATCAATCAATGTGATTGATTATTAACAAATTGAAGGAGAAAAACCATATGATCATCTCAATAGATGCAGAAATATCTTTTGACAAAATTCAACACCTATTTATGATAAAAACTCTCCAGAAAGTAAGCATAGAGGGACTCTACTCAACATAATAAAGTCCATATATGACAAACCCACAGCCAACATCATTCTCAATGGTGAGAAACTGAAACCATTTCCA